TGATCAGATTGTAGTTGAACCCTCAAAGGATGTGACAGACACCCAGCAAGACGACACAACAGAACCAACAAAAATTGAACCTACGTCACCTGCCGACTTTACACCACCAGTGTCACGTGCACACTTAGAAGGCACATCTTCAGAGACAATCACTCAAGTTGAAGCACCTCTGATTGGTAAGTTTATTTCACAACTGTTCTGAGAAAAAAGTAACACATATTTTGTGTTCAATTTGCACCAAGCAGACTTAGATGTAGATTGAAATTAATTTTCATTCACATTCAAAATGTGTGTGTAAATAATTAGTGTGTGCCTTTTTTTTTTATTTTTTTATTTTTAGTTTGCGTTTTTTTATGTCTGAACACATATACCGGTACTTTATTACATCAGTTTAGATCAGTTTAGGCTGAGATGTAATAGATCAAAAATCAAAATAATCAAAAACAAAATCCAAGGCAATGCAAGCTCACTGTGACTGGTTGCATCATGTTTGGCATATGGCAACTTAATATATATAATCACATGTTTAATCTGTTCATGACAGTTTTAAATTTGTCATAGTTTCTGGCTGTCTGCAAATCTGAAAAATGTTTACTTGCCCTACTGTATAATACTTTATTTTTGCTTGGAATTAATTTTCGATGAAGGAATGATTCAGTGCAAATAAATTCCAGCGAATATACCTTTTTTCCTATATTTTATTTTCAACTCATCAAAAATCAGTGAAAATAAATTCCATACAAAAAACCCAAAAAATATTTTCAGCGAAAATTAATTCCAGCTAAAATAAAGTATTTTACAGTATATGATGTGATGAAGTGGATTTGATCTATTGTAAATCCTGTAGACTTTGTTAATAATTGGTATTCATATTATCATATACATGACTTTTGTATGTATACAAAGCAGTGTTCTATGTCAGGTTTAAAGCAATGTGTTGAGGTTGAGGAGTAATAAAAAAATAGTGCATCAGGCGACAAAATGATTTTTATGGTATTTGTATTGCTTTGTAGTATTTAATTACTCACATGTCATTCTGCAGCAGTAATTGTGAAGTGTAGTGTTACGTTCATGTGTGTTCAATCACCTTGCCTTCTATGTATATTCTGTTAAACTACCTTTGTCATAATCAGAAATGATATTCAAATTACAATTGCATTTTGTCATAAGAAAAAATGAAAAGTGCTTTTAAAAATTATTATGGTTGTGATTGAATCGGTGTGACGTCACTGAAAGTTCAGTCAATGGACGTTGTATTTTCAAAACATATTTACCATCAATGACACTTGCGTTTAAATCAAACATTTTAATAAATAATTAATAAGATAGTTAATGATTTGTGCTGTAATTCTAAATTAAAGATTTGTGAGATCATCATTAATTAATAATTTGTAATTTGTGAGATAATTTCTAATTACCGGTAATAATTTATAAGTTAATTCATACATGTAGTTAATGGTTTGTGAGATAATTCTAAATTGAAGATTTCTGAGATCATCATTACCGTTATTAATAATTTGTGAGGTAATTCTTATTTTATGGTTTGTGAGATAATTTATAATATACTACATGTACATAGTCAGGAGTATTATGATACATTTTCTATTCTACAGATGAGAAATCATCAGCACGACAATCAGTCCAGTCACCATTAGCTTCAAAACCATCTACCCCATTGTCTAAGCAATCATCACCAACTCACAAACAGGGTGTTCCTAAAGACATTATGATTATACCCAAATCACCTACGCCACCAGCTCTGCCAAAGGAAGCAAAGAAACCAGCAACTCCAACGTCAGTTGTTTCCGCTAATCAGAAACTGAACCAGGAGACGTCTGTGACCACGCCAGTGAAGAAAGTCGCCAATGTAAACACTAAGCAACCAATCACAACAACAGCAGTCCCATCCCCACCAAAGTCTGCTACCCAACGCAAAGAGGAAATCAAGCCAAAGGGAATGGTTGAACAGCCACCACCACAGGAAAAGAAAGAAAGTGCTCTCGATCTTGATGCGTTGCGCGCCATGGTAACCAAGAAAACTGAATCTAGAGATGTAAGTTTAATTTTTCTTGGTTGTATTTTAATATTTTATAAGCAAATCATTATATTTTACCATAACAAAACAGTGTATATTTTATTTTGTATCTTCATCATCAAAGTTGTCAATACGAAATAATGTTTTAAAGCAGAAATTAGTTTTAATTTCAGCCAAGTTTTCTTTCTGACATATTATTTATTAGTCTGTTTCTTTTAATTTTGTTCCATTTAGTGAAAAATTCATTTATCGATATTTATTCTTTAATTTATTCACATCAGAAAACCAAAGTGAAAAAAGTTGGTCCTCCGAAGAAAGAGAAACGAAAGAAAGCAACTAAGATGCAATTTGTTGATAGCATTGGTATTGAGGGATATGAGGAACCATCTAATGAAGAATTTGAACAGATGGTACAGCAAGAGGTGAGTACTGTAAAATGACTAATTTTCACTGGGTTTAAACTTCACTGATTTTCCATTCCAGGCACATTCAGTGGGTTTTAAATTCACGGTTTTATCATTTAGATAACGTGTTCTATACTAAATTTTACATATTCACTGGGTTTTAATTTAGTGCATTTTCCAGTCGGGGAAAATTAAAACCCAGTGAATAATTAACCCCTTTACAGTACCTTACTCTTGATGGTGTAGCTACATTACATTATCACATACATACATAATGTGTGTATCTCTACAGTGTAGTGTAATTCAGGATAAATGGAAAATGCATATCACATAGTTTTTCTATTGTCCACGCTACATGAAGCTTGTCTGGATCTTTCAGGTTTATAAAAAATGTATACGGTCTGATAACTACGGATTGTGGTAACAATAGATTTTTTCAGCAAGCTTATGTGTGTATTTTCATTATTATTATATAGTCCCATAAAAACAGGTTGCAAACTAGCCCAAAGTATAGTTTTCTGAAAGATTCCTGCCTTTAAATGTTCTCCCTGGTGATGGTTGCCAGGTGGTGAAAATGCCTAGATATCAGCCCCTAAGAATAGGAATTATTATATCAATCATCAGCATAAAGAATATTTGTATAAAATATAATATCAATGAACATAAATGTCATATTTTATTTAGCTTGCTAAACACATGGCTGAGAAGAATTTGATTGAGTCAGCACCAAAGAAGAGTGATAAAAAACTACTGAAAAGCCAGAACATTCTGAGGAGGGTGCTGTGCCAGCAACTGATGCTGATGTCAAACCTGGTATGTTTTAATCTCTAAAAATCACATTTATTTTCGGTACAAACCTGGGTGTTCTGTTTTTGGTGGTAGATTTAAATTTCCGATTATGTGTTTGAATCAGCTATGCTATGCTTTGTCACCAATGATTTATATCACTTTTCTATTTCATGCACAGGAGTCCTCTCTGAAAGCATCATGGATAAACCAGCAGTTGAAAAGCCTGTACCTGAAGTTACATCAGAAGATGAGGATGCAGCCATTGAGGCTCAAATCAAAGCTAAATTTGCTGATAAACCTAAAAATAAGAAGAATAAAAAACAGATTGCAATGGAGAAGGCAGCGTTGAAAGAAGCCAATCGAGTAGCACGAATGGTAAGAGGAATTATGGGAATGATAACCTACTAATGAATG